GAGAGGAAAAACGCCGCTATTATTTTACATGTCATGGGTTGACAGACTTAGCAAGAACTACACTTTTACATTATCAAAATCCCTCTCCTATAACCCAGATTTATTTCATTGATCAGTCGACGTCGGGAACACCTTGGATATTGGATTGACCGCGGGAAGTTTAGTCCTAACGTGATTTGCATTTATCAAACTTTTGCTGTGTTCTTATGCAACAAAAGTACCATTTCAGTTCTAAAGAATCTGTCCTGAGCTATACGTTCGGTAGATTACTTTTTTGAGTTTCACTATATTTAATAGTTACCTGTGGTTTTGCCTCAGCTTACTATTCGGTTTTTTTTGTTTTTCACGTATAGACTAGTTTCAGTTTATATCACTCGTTTTGTCCATTTTTGTCCGTTTTCAGTGTGCTTTTTAGTTCTTTTTTGAAAAGGTCTTAGGTTCTTGCAAGCATCTATAACATAATTTGCTTCAACACCATCATGAAAAACTCATGCAAACGTCCGGGATGCCGTTTTGCTGTCACAACTGGCATACAGTGCGACAACTGCAAAGGTTGGTTCCACGAAGCATGCACAGATCTGACAGCAACTGCTTACAACAGACTCAGCAAGTCAGAGCAAAAGTGGGTGTGTGTCACGTGCAACACAGACTCCGTAGCCTTGCTGAGTAACATCATTGTCCTACTGACAGGTCTTCGGAACAAGTTGTCAGTTAACTTGGAAAACGATAGTAAAAAAACTGATATACAAACAAGAGCGTGCAACGGACTCAAAAACAGGGATGTCGATAGGTATTCCATCGATGGAGCATCCATCAACACTAACGACGACATGTCGAGGCTCAGTACCATCATTACGTCGACGGTACTGAACTCCCTAGGCAAACTCGGGTCTCCCAGCTCAGGGTCCCCGAACACAACAGTGATTGCCAAAATCCCTGCAGGTGATTCGACCCACGTTAAGAGAGCCCAAAAGAACCAGGCATCACCGCCCAAGCCGAGCAACCCAAGTGTTGCTGCACGGAAAATAACTGGTGATTTAGTCGCATAGTCTACCCCCAAGACTGTTCGTCCGGTCAATAAAGAGCCCATGATTCATAAACGCACACTGACCTCCAAACAACAAGTTATTAAACCTTAACCCATCGTGAAACCTGGTAAATTAACAACAGTTCGTGACGATTCTCTCATTATCATGAATCTCGTTGACAACCCTGATCTTCCTCTCAGTCTGCAGGACAAAAACGACAGGATGCTCTGGGGTGAATTGAACAAGAAGCTCGAACATCCTAGAACAGAGCCTTTGACGGTCACCCGGCTCACTCGAGGAAAGGATTCTAAGCATCTAAATCACCCGATGCTTCTCCGAGTAACACTTAAGGATGCTACCGACGTAGAGGACGTCTTGCTAGCAAGCCACTTGCTGAAATCAGATGGTAACGTAAGAATACTGCCCGACATACCGTACTCTGAGCGCAGTATCATACGAAACGTCCCTAAAGAATCTCGCGAGAAGTTTTTCCGCGGAAGAAACATAATTGTCCAAGGTATACCGGAAAATGCAGACCCTACTCAATCAAATTCTGACATCAGGGAATGGAAATTCATCAAACAGTCCTTGAGGCTCAAACACATACTGACTCAGCATGTGACGAGACTAGCCAAGAAGGACGGTGATCTTAGACCCCGTCTAATGAAGATAACCTTCCCATCTTCCCACATGGCGGCTGCAGTTCTGAAAGCATTTCGTGCTAATAGACGTCGATTGCCACCTGGAATCCACATGCACCCGGATAGGCCATACGAAGTTAGGACCAAGAACAAAGGCAAGTTGGAGCTGACCATTCCACTTGTGGACTCTCTAAACGATAAAAAAACGTGTAAAGGACAGGGCCTACCACCTCGGCAAACCTCACATAAGTGGGCTACCTGTCCATTCACATAAGGTTCATACAGAAAAACAGAACGAAGCTCACGCGTTCCAAATTGAAAGCATAAACTGCTTATATATGAACGCCGCGAGTCTACCAAACAAACTGGATGAACTACGTGAACTTAGCAACGCCAATAAGGCCCATCTGATAGGAATATCTGAAACCTAGATATCTTCTCAGTTCTCGGACCAAGAGTTAGCATTGCCTGGGATGACTTTGTTCCGCAACGACAGAAAAACAGGAATTGGGGGCGGAGTAGCCATATACATAAGCTCTTGCTTGGAGGTGCACCAGGTTCACAACCTCGAGTTTAACAATCTTGAGGAATCCATATGGTGCTCTGTAAGATTGTCTAGTACTTCCAGGTGTCTAGTCGGAGTCATTTACAGGAAGCCAACTGCCGACACCGAGTACGATAGTCGTACGCTGGAAGGACTATCCCGCTCTATCCGTCTCGGTTTCACACACATCCTGATTCTAGGGGACTTTAGTCTCCCTAGAGTCAACTTCGCGGAACACACGTACACTGGAGGCGACAACTCAACTGAAGCTCGGTTCTTCAACCTCATCGATAAATTGGGCTTATATGAAAATGTGAGGTCGGCAACTCGTTGAAGAAACAGTCAGACACCATCGCGCTTAGACTGTGTATTCACTAACGAAGAATTCCTAGTCGACAACCTCTCAATCCTGGCTCCTCTGGGAAAAAGCGATCATGCTGTCATAGCCTTCAGTTTTGTAATCAAAACTAAGCTAAGGTATCCCAACAATAATTTGCGTTGGAATTTTAAACGGCTGAAAGTGCCAGCTCTACATGACTATCTACAACAGGTGGTTTGGGATGTTCACCCTCAAATCGATGTGGATGGTCATTGGGACTTCTTACTGCACACGCTCTTATGTGCTACAGCCCATTCAGTTCCTCAAACGGTTCCCAAAAGCTGCAAGCCACCTACAATAATAAAGAACCGTACCCTTCGCCTGCTAAGCCGCAAAAGGCACTGTTGGGCGGAATACAAACGAACTGACAACGACGGAGCGTACAGGCAATATAAAAATATCAAGAACATATGCACGAAGGCTATAAGAGAAGATAGGCTTCAGTACCAGACAAAGTTTATGGACAAATTCGCCTCTAACCCTAGAAGCCTATTCCGTTATGCAGCCTCTCTTCGTCAAGCCAAAACAGGAGTTTCTCAACTGCTAGGTCTTAACGGCCCGACCAACAACGATGGCGACGCCGCTAACCTTCTGGCTGAACATTACTCCCAGATATTTCAACCGACCGACATTAACTTTACTGATGACAGTTTCGTTTGCAATTCCACAGGACTCTCCGAAGTGAACCTAAGCGCTGACTTGGTGTTCCGGAAACTGCAGCACTTTAGATTAGACACTTCTCCTGGCCCGGACATGGTCCATTCCGCCATAATGAGGGAAGCAGCCTCAATCCTGGCAACGCCGCTTTGCGTGATGTTCTCACACTCGCTTAGCCGAGGCAAATTACCGGAAAACTGGAAGTTGGCTCACATCACACCAATTTTCAAAGGTGGTCGACGCAATGAACCTTCAAGTTATCGGCCGGTGGCTCTTCTGTCATCACCTTCAAAACTCATGGAGTCCCTGATATGCGACGGTTTAAATGACTATCTACTGTCCTTAAATTTCTTCTCACCCCAACAGCATGGTTTCAGGAAGGGTTACTCTTGTATAACCAACCTGCTGACTGCGGTGGACAAATGGACAAGCATCCTCGATTGCAAGGGAAAGGTTGACGTCATTTACCTTGATTTCTCAAAAGCTTTTGATAAGGTTAACCACTTGTGTCTTATCAACAAGCTCAAACGACTAGGTATCAAACCACCTCTAATCGATTGGCTTACTTCATACCTAAAAAATCGACATTTTAAGGTTAGGGTTGATTTCACTTTATCTCAGGCTATGGAATGTCCTAGTGGGGTCCCACAGAGCTCAGTACTAGGGCCTCTTCTCTTCTTGATCTACATAAATGATCGTCCTCAACAGGCAACGTCAGACTTACTACTTTTTGCCGATGACGTGAAACTTTGGAGAGAGATACGTAACCAAGACGATATACAGGCACTTCAGGAGGATCTGACTCGACTTCAAAGTTGGGCAGACGATAACGGACTTGCCTTTAACACTTCAAAGTGTAAAGTAGTCCATCTGCGACATGTCGCAAACTACAGTTACAACTTAGGAAACTCCTCTCTAGTAGTATCCCAAGTCGAAAAAGATTTAGGAGTCCTGGTGCCCCATGACTTAAAGTCTTACGCTAACTGTGACAAAAATGCCTTCCGAGCAAACCTTGCACTGGTAACATTGAAGCGCATTTTTGGACAGTTTGACGGCAGAACTTTCCATACAATCTTCAATAGTTTTATCCGTCCCCAGTTAGAATACGGAAACATAGTATTTACCCCCTCACTCCAAAAGGATAAGGACACCCTGGAGCGTATCCAACGGCGAGCCACGAAATCAGTTCGAGGACTCAAATCTAAGCCTTACGAAGAACGCCTCCGTTCATTAGACCTTTACCCACTAGAATATAGGCGTCTTAGAGGTGATTTACTAATGGCTTATAGTATTCTTAACACTTCTGGACATCCTCTTAAACACCTACTTAAGCTTAGTTCGAATAATAACCTAAGGGGTAACACCCAGAAACTGGAAACACAACATAGCAAGACGGAATGTAGACACAACTTCTACTCCTTAAGAGTTGTCAAAAGCTGGAATTCGCTGCCGGCCGAGCTAGTCCAAGCGACTTCTCAGGAGTCCTTCAAGAGACAACTTGACCTATTCTTAAGGACCAAGGACAGCATCACATTATGATTTACCAATTTCTTTTCCTCTTTTACTGTTAACATACCTAGGTTCCTGCCTGGAGGATTTGGTGATCCCCTGCTACTAAACACGGAAGCCTGTTAAGCGAAAGCTTCTTCTATTCCGTCCACAACCATTTGAACCATTTGAACCTTGAACAGTTAGGTGAAGTGATGGTATAAAGCTCATAAGTGAGTGCTTTCAACGAGTATTTAGATTTTCACAGAACTAATTACATTATGAACTAACATGAACCACCTGATTTATTCCACCAACGCCTAAAATCATAAGCTGGTAATTTTAAGAGGTTATTATAAATTGGAACGTTACTGTTGGGGCTACTTCCGTGAAGTCCTTCGATGAGTTTTCTTTTTGGAACCAGAAAAACACCTGAAGAGCAGCTAAGAGATAGCAAACGAACTATTACAAGAACACTTAGAGAGATAGATAGAGAAAAAACTCAGTTGGAGAGGGAACGCGTTCGAATAACAAATGAAATTCGTGCGTTGGCAAAGCGTGGTCAGATTGATGCCGTCAAGGTAATGGCGAAGCAGTTAGTTCGAACAGAGAGTTACATCAAAAAGTTTTCCTTGATGCACTCAAATATTACAGTTTGTCATGTTTTATCAGTCGAGTATTTTCTAATAATAGGCGTTATCAATGAAAATTCAGACTTTAAAATCAACCGCCACGATGGCTTCAGCTATGAAACAGGTTGCGCTAACGATGAGAAAAATGAATTCAACTATGCAATTACCTCAGTTCCAAAAGATTATGATGGAGTTCGAAAAACAAACCGAAACGATGGAAATGAAACAAGATATGATGTCAGATGTAATAGATGATGCCATTGGAGATCAGGATGACATTGAAGATTCCGAAACTGTTGTGAATAAGGTTAGTGTCGGTCTTTATTCGTAGACTATTCACACACTCCAACTCGAGTCGAATTCCAGCAAGTGCTAAACAGTTCGTAAATAATTTTACCAAAATAACATAATATGATACTGCGCAGAATCTGACCTCAAGTATTGCTCGTTTGATAAAACCTTATAATTTCCCAATTTTCGTGAGGTGTGTAGAAAAAAACTTAAAAACCAACTAACTCAGTAATCTCGCCAGTAATGATGAATGACCAATATATGTACATCAAGATTATTATTGTGGTAAAAGATGAGCTTTATTCTTAAGTATAGCCGAAACGCGAGATCATGGTGGTGACTTCCACCGATTATATATGATTTGTTACGAAAGTATTCATATAGTTCGAAGTACTGTCAACATTTAGCACTCTGAAATGTATAATCAGCTGCTAACATCTCAGTTTATGTAGTTCGATAAATAAGTTCTTTTAAGTTTCAAGAGTACTTGTTCCAACCTAGTTTAGGATTTATATTTCACAATATCTTGAATTTTGACATTAAAAGGTTTCCTATTTCTCTTAGACTATAAATTTGTCACAAGCATTTTCATCATGTTCCCTGGACTTCATATAACGAAGACCATTAGGGTCTAGTTCGCAATATTATTTTTCTAGTTTTTGAATAAACTTATGTTTGAAAACCCTAGGTTTTAGAAGAACTTGGCATCGATCTTAATGCACAGTTGAGTAATCTCCCAACAGCTAAGGATACTATTGGAAGTACAGTTTCAAGTGCAGTTCGACCTCATGCAGTCGCTACTGATCCTACTCCAGTAACTGGACCTGGGCCTAATTCTGATTCGGTTGATCCTATTGATGAAAATAATTTGGAAGCTCGTTTAGAACGTCTCAAAAGAAAGTAAAACCTTAATTCACTTGTGCGTGCACGTCGATTTTCAGTTTTAACGTCTATACCACCCCATGTTTATATAAACATATATCACAATCCAGCATAATAATGCTTTAAACTTAACTATCATATGGATAATATTTTTGGATTTTTTGCTTCCTTATGCTACCAAACTATTGAGAATAATTTTTTTATAAAGAAACTGTTTGATGTTCTATAATGCAAATCTCTACAGTTTGCAATCTAAAAGTATTCTTAATAAAAGATTTTTGTTACTAAATGAAGCTTTTTACCTCAACACTTTAATAGGCCACACTAATGAAGGTTATCTCTGGTAGCTCCATTGATTTCTGGGTGTTTGTCTGTCTATGATGCGCTCTTAAGATTGAATTGTTCCACTAATTCGATGCATTACATTTCACGTATACAAATAAACTTTTACTGTCTTCATATAACAACCCGTTCGTAGCTGCTACTCTGACGTAGTGATCGGGCTTGCCTATCATCATGAATCAACCGAGCTATATTGGCGGGGACACATGTTCCTTTAGGTTCCACCGTCCTAAGCATTTGGATTGTGAAATGATAAGACTAAAAACAGCAACTTAAGGTCCGACGGCGAAGTCGTGCCGCTGGCTGTAGAGGGGCGTGGCAGTAGTAGGGTGTTTGCCTCAGGCGACCAACGTCTACTGCGATGTCGCCTTCTCAGAACGGAAGGGGTTAGGTAAGGTTGACCCCAATAATGTCACACCCCAGCATATCTCACCGGCGGGAAGGCTTTGAGTTGCGGAGCTAACTCATCAAAAGATCTCCAGTAAATGGTCTTGCGCGACCGGCCTCGAGCAGTTGTTCCTTAGGCTCTGGGGTCACGCTCCTGGATTCCTGTTGTTATTACTAATTTAGTTTCTTTTTCAGGTCCCCCAAGGAGGAATATCCATCCATGATGGCTAGCAGCTGGGAAGTGACAACCACCTTCATTACTTTTAACAGAACACGAGAACATTTTGTTCACAATCAAATCTCTCACCTCTTAATTATTCTTTCATCCCTACAACTAACCCTTCTCATTTATCTTTATCATCACACGCCACCAATGCTAATGTTTTGAGTTCACAAAATGTTATTTCTGATCTCATGAAACCGCTCTCTAAACTACATGTTGAAACTCCCATTGTTGGAACCTTGTGTCACGCTTCTTCAGCTAGGACTCTAGAATTCCGCGCCATCGATGTATGCTGCATCTTCGAAATGCACATACAGGATCAAAGTGCAATCATTCATTTGACTTGACCTTGTCACTATGATGAACTGGCACGATTTACCTTTCGAGTATCTGGAGACCTAACTTCTACCTCCCGTGGCCTCATTTGTGTAAGTGTAGCATCAAGTGTAAAAGCAGAACAGGCTTTGTTCAACTGTTTAATTAGACAGTTGCTTGTGAACTGTCCGGATAAAATATACATGTAATAACTCGCTGGGATCAAGACATACGTCGTCGCCTTTTCGTTGTCTCTACATACGCTTCCACTGATTGCAGCTCAGATGAAGTCAAAGATAGATTTTATAGGACGTTATCCAACCTCCCAAAAACTAAACGCTCTGATTTAATAATAGTGGCGGGTGATTTTCGTGCTCATGTAGGTAGACTAAATCAAACCGGAAGGCTCTTAGGCGAATCTTACAATGTTAAGGTTCGACAAACGGCAACCGTCTGCTACAGCTATGTTCTAATGACCATCTATTTCTAGTAAACACTAACTTTAAATATAAGAAAGGACATCTCATGTGGTGACCCCACAACCGACTCAACTTGATCACATGGCCATCAGCCATCGTCAGGGTGGCTCGATAGAAGACTGTCGCTCATTCCAGGGCACATGTTTAAACTCACACCATGCTATGGTTCGAGAGCGTCTTTGTATCTTACTGGATGTAGAAATGCCACAGCAAGAGAAGCCCTTAGAGTTCAACCTAATGATGAAAAAGTTGGGAATATATTTCACAACCAACTAGAGAAAGCTAATCAACTGTGAAAACGATATCCACCTCGAGATAGCTTGGTATGATATCTAAAAAACTGTGAAAACAGTAGTGATGTGCACTAGTAACAAACCAAAAGGTTAGGAATTTCAGTGGCATCTGCAGAACTGATAGATGCTCAGAAATTCATCCCGTCTGGTTCCGAACACGGTGAGGAGCGGAGGCAGCTTAAATGTAGGCTGATAATAAGCCTACGTGATCGTGAGAAGCAGTGAGTAGGGAAACCAGAAGATATGGAAAAGACAACAGCGATAGGTAAAAGTAGACGACTGTTCGAACTTATCAGGGAAACGAATATTAAAAATCCGCTTATTAGTGAAAGTATCTAGGAAAAAGACAGGACTGTTGTTCACTCTCAATTCAGGAGAGTAGACTGATGTGCAGAACAGTTCAACAGGCCTTTGGCCACTTTAATTTCCCACCATCTTCAAGCAAACTGGCGTACGTCCTCCAATTGTTGGTGAATTTGAAAAAGTTGTAGGGAATTTAAAGTGATGGACAACTGCAGGTCCAGACGAATTAGTCCCAGAAATCTTTTAAGATGGTGGTCCAGCTTTATCACTTGGACTGACTGAGATCTTAATTACATCCGTACTTTTTTATGGGTACAGGATCTTAATTATGCTTCATTGGAACAATAAAACGTAGGAAATTTTTAAAGTAAATTAAAAAAGTAAGAAGGGAGTAAATGACCAATATCAAGATGCGTAGACACATATATCCAACTTAGTAATCAATACTCATTTCAATATACTACAACTTATCATGGCACGTAATTAATGGATAATAAGAATAACATGACTAAAATCATTAAAACTAACAGAAAATAGTAGGGGGATAAATCAAAAGTGAATTGAAACAGCTGGGAATTTATGTAACCGTATCGTTTGAAATCTGTGAGACAAGGTGTTCTGGTATTTTACATCGTTTCAAACTAGTTGCTGTCAACCGCCTATCACGGACTTCTCCATGAAGCAACCACTTCGATACAACGCAGCAGGACTGAAGGTCAGTTGAGTTATTCTTCCCATCTAATATATAGAAATGAAACTTGTTCATATCCAGGTATACTAAGAGAGTAAAACAGTCATTGCAAAAATGTGAACAGAATCGATAATTTTAGATCCTTTGACGTCGTGAGATTTTGCCTTCAAATAAACCATTAAGTGGTGAGATTGATCCGCTGTATCGTATCCTTACGTGCAATGTCTATATATATTACTACCATTGAATTAATTGCTCCTATGAACTTGGTGTTCATCTTGTTATGTCAATGGGATGTGGTAACTCGGACATATGCATGTGCACCTGGTCCTGCGTTAATGACTCACTGATACTATAAAATTTCTTAGGAAGTTGAGCTACAGCTTGGTCCACATCATAATTGACTAAAATCATAGTGTTATTTATGCATACTCAACACACCTCTTAGTAACTTACTTTTCTTGAAACACTGAATCTAATTATATATTGTTTCGACTAAAATAAAATCACTGGTAAATTAGTGATGAAAATACTAACTTAATGAATAAGCATCCTATTACATTAACTAAGCTAAACCAAGTAGCGTATGTAATCAATAAATGCCCTGGTACGGCAGACAGTGGGGAGAGTCCGCTCTCCGTCTCCAAATGCTCTCACATGGCCACGCGTATATAGCCTCTGCCAGGGAAGTCCTACTCACTGCCTTCTCGTGGCGGGGGTGGTGTTCACGAAAAGCGAAGGTCTGGCGCTTTAACCGGGTTGGTGGACACGGAGAGTCCACCTAGGGGAGTTGAAAAACTCTGATTCCAAACCAATGGTGCACATGGGCTCCAGTATCCTGAAGGAACAAATGGCGTATGAACCAATTGTTGGTCACCGGCTACCGTGGAACTGCATCTCTTGACGTTGCTCCACTGTCTTGTGGATCAGATCGAAGGCTCCGTGTGTGGCTCCCTAAGAAAACCACCTGCTTCAGTTTGGGCACCCGGGCAGTATCACAGCCCCCACACAAATCAAATGAGATCTATGTGGCGCATATGTGTTTGATGCCTCCTTGAACCAATATCTATGTATTAAAATAGATAAATAAATCAAGAAAAAGTCCAAGTCTCGTTTTGTCTTTCTAATCATGCCCAGACTTGCTTGTTTTTACTTTACTCTTCAAATAAACAGTATTATACATAACACTTGAAATTAAAAGAAAAATCTTTATTGAATATATACAATATCGAAATGAACATAATTAAATGTTTGTACAAAGTTAACAGATGAAATTTTCGCAAGACTTTGTTAATATGACAAATTTTTCTTCTTGCCAAATAACTAGTCTATTTAACGTAAAATAATATCACAGTGAAAATATGTTGACTAGGGCAACACACACACACATTATAGAAACTCCCGTATAAAATAAACACGAAATGAATAAAAGCAATTTTTCGAAACATTCGTATTTTCTAAATTAATTTAAAAAAAGGATGAAAATGAAATTAGAATTGGAATAATTGTATTATTTATAGATTGGATTGAATTAAGAAGATACTGCGTCCAAATCAGCCATTAGTCCACTGTCACCACTTAATCTTTGCCCATCTGGTAATTTATAATGCTGACAGAATTCAGGCATATGATTTGTTTGTTCTGTAATTCTTGTTTCTGTAGCATTCATCAAACAAGCTATAGGTGCACAAATATGTGATGATAAAGTATTATCATGATCAGAATAAGTATGACTATTATTTATGTTAAAAGAGACACCTGAATTGTCAAGTGATTTAGGATGATTTCCTGATTTGTCTATTCCTGATTTATGACTTAAACAATGATGATGAACTTGATTATACTTTTGTTTTGAAATTTCTTCTCGTTTTAAACGCTCCATCTCTGTGACTTCTAATATACATTCTTGCAAATCTTCTAGTAATCTAGCACGATCTGAACTTGTTTTTGTATTTAAAGTGATTAAGATACGCGCTCGACCATTGGGTGTTTCAACGATATGATTCATACCAACCTCTCTATGAGAGTCTACATTTTGAATTTGTTCAAGTGGTGCCAGTAGCTCTAAACCATTAGAATGATGAACAGTTTCAAATGGGACCAATTTTATTCCGAATAATTGAATAGTCATTCGTACTTGATATGCAACTGATGCATCACGTCTGCGTTTTTGAACACTTTTAGTAATAAGAAGTAGATCATTGAATAAAAAAAGTTCACGTTGATGTGCACCAGATCGTTCTCGTTTATTTTTATCTGGAACCTAAAATAGAAAAATAAAGGAATATGTACTGTTCTGTTGTGTCATTTCAAACATCACATGGTAAGATCGCCAGTTAGACCACCGACGTATATGACCTTGGTATTGTCCCAAACCAACAACGCGTTATTTATTTATTTATTTATTTATTTATTTATTTATTTATTTATTTATTTTAACACATAGATATTGGTACAAGAAAGCACCAAATACATATGCGCCACACAAATCTTATTCGATATGTGCGAGGGCTGTGATACTGCCCGGGTGCCCAAACCGAAGCAGGTGGTTTTCTTAGGGGGCCACTCCCCGAGCCTTTGACCTAGAGGTCTGACCCACAAGGCAGTGGAGCATCGTAAGGAGATGCAGTCCCATGGTAGCCGGTGACCAACGATTGGTTCATACGCCATTTGTTCCCGCAGGATACTGGAGCCCATGTGCACCATCAGTTTGGGATCCGGTTAAAGCGCCGGACATTCGCTTTTCGTCCTCTCATTTTTGTAAATAACACCCCGCCACGAGAAGGCAGTGAGTAGGACTTCCCTGGCAGAGGCTATATACGCGTGGCCAACGCGTTAAATAGTACGAGTAGCCTAGAGTCAACTCATAATCCTTATTGGACCCTCTTGCCTTACCAGTCCACTTTCTCTATTTTTTCTTTAACTTCATCATGGATCTACCGATTGGAATAACATTCTCATCGACTGAATTTTCGGGCATTGATCTCCTACCAGGAGATCCACTTATCGACTTAGAATACGCAGATGAAATAGTCCTGTTTGCCGAAGACGCTGCTTAAATGCAGTCGTTTGGTAGCACTGAGCAACAATGCCAGAATGTTTGCGATGCGATTCTCTGCCTCTAAATGCGGGTTGTTGCTTCAGGACTAATCTACATCAACACTTGATCTAAGGATAGGGAATGAAGCAGTCGAACGAGTTGACAACTTCACTTATCTTAGAAGTCAGATCAGCAGTAATGGGTTGGTGTCTGACGAAATCTCAGCACGGATTCGAAAAGTTCGTTTGGCTTTTGCCAACTTACGTCACCTATGACGAAGGCGAGCATACTGCGCGGCAGTTCACATTCTGTTCTACTTAACGGCTGCGAAACGTGGTCATTAAGAGTGAAAGGTACTCGTAAGTTACAGATGTCTTAGGAATATTATTCGCATCTGCTGGGATCACAGGGTAAGTAATAGTGGGGTTAGAGGCAGGGTATTAGGGAATGATGGTGAATCAGTTGATGAGGTTGTGAATCTTCATCGACTGAGATGGTTGGGCCACTTGTAACGTATGCCCAAACACCGATTACCACGACGTGCAATGCTATCCGGTATTGGAGATGGTTGGAAGAAAGTTAGGGGCGGCCAAACCAAAACGTGGCATCAGTGCTTGAAGTCACTAACTTCTAGTCTGAGCCATGTTGGTAGATGCAGACTACTTGGTTGGGGTCCGCGTTACTGTCGTAACCAATGGTTGGAGACTCTTGGTGACATGGCTCAGAATCGATCAGAATGGCGTCGGTGTATACACTCTCTATCTTCCCTTAAACTAAGAGATTAAAATCGCTTCATATCTTTCGTTCTACCAACTAATTCTTTCTTCCTATACTATATCCTTATACACAATTTTTATTTGATATAATACCACCACTGAATTAAATACTTCTATGAATTTGGTGTTCATCTTGTTGTGCTAATGAGGTGCAGCAGCTTGGATCGATACATATGTGTCTGGTCCTACGTTGTAGCAGACTGACTGACTGAAGAAGATATACATAATAACAGTCTATAGATAATTCCCAGAAGTTACCCATAATCCAGTGTTTTTCGGATACAAGTGGTGATAAACCTGATTAGGTTGATAACAAGGTTATGCTTTGAAATATGTTAGATGAACAAATTTACAAATTATTTAATCCACTGTACTCCTCACTCCCTGTTATTAGAAACCTTCAGTTATGCTACAGTTAAGAAACAAGACTGTTTTGTGACATATATATGGGAGTAATTGCAGCTTGTAAATGATAAACGGCTTTCATAATTAACAGAAATGATAGCCAAATTCTCAATGCACATAAAAATTTCTTACGAAATGTAATCGATCATTTTAAATATATTAAAAGCAATTTCTCAATTTATTCATTAAACCAAATTAGATAAGGTTATGAATGATAGCTGCAACAACGAAAGCAACTAACCTCATAAAGTCGACAGTAACAAACCAATCTCCTTTGAGGGACTGATAGATTAAGAGGCTTTTGAGGACCTGTTAGATGTTTTTGTATTTTACGAACTTGATCTGTATGGTCTGATTGTACAGACATTTCTTGGGATTTGATTCGGTCGTAAATACCAAGCAGAAAATCTCGATCTAAATCTTCACCTTAAAATATAACAAAATACAAAATATTGCGTATAAGAACAGAATGACCAACTGTCATCAGCACAGATGAGCCGCTGGATTGTATTTACGATTACATTTATTTATTTCCTACACCAAATATTTAAAAAAATTGTATATTTTGCAAACTGACTGGTTACTGCATCAGTATGTACAAACTGATTTGCCAATCAGTCCTAATCAATAAATAACAAGGCCTAACACTAATGTGAGTTAATCCAAGTTTACTTGTCAGATTGCCACAACGATAGCAAATTAACATGATGAACATAAAAAGAGTCGAGACGATGTGATAATAATGACAATGAGGAAGGTTAAACGTTCAGCACATATTTCCAGAATAAAAAGATATGTACCAAATACATTAATCTACAGTATTTACAGAGTGAATGTATGTGTTATTGTGACCGATCCTACCAACGTTTGCAAACACTGATAGCGCAAACTCTAATAAGATAGTCTGCATCAACTAATATGTTCAATAATTAACGACTTAACAAATTGACGTCACTTTCTGGTTTAGGAACAAGTAACATATACCAAACCAACTCAATAGAATGAGTCTCAACAACAGCGAAGAATTCGCTATCTTTGCTTAGAATCTTATGTTTCAAATTTCGAACAATGCTTGAGAGATCGAAATTCTGCAACCAATGCATATCTTTTACGTTTATAAACCACATTTTTCAGCCATAACGAGATACAAAGTGGATTGATATACAATTTACTGGAGGTCTGATTGGGAAGTGAACATCACGCCTACGTCTACAGTGTTACAAGTTCGAGGAAGTTAATCGAGCCTTTGAATCTGTGTTGATATTTCGCTAGACATCGATCCGGGAAGGTTGATGAAACTTTCGAGATAAATGGAGTAATCAAGAACCTCAAATGCTTCATTTTCTATGATCAATCTAAGCGATAATGTAGACCAGTTTCGAAGCAACAATTTACCACTTAAAGGAGGCAAACACATGTACATGATTAAATGGTCGATCGACTGAGTCAGAAGATTTTCAATTATGTTAACATCATCACCGAATAAGACTATTAGCACATTCTAAGTCGATAAGTGAATATCCCAGGAGGTCAACCCCTAAAAATCTATGTGGAGAAAAACTCAATTCTAAGAGATAAGTTGTGACGAAACTAAATATAAAAATGTGAATACTGGATAACAGAGACAAACACTTTTAGATTCTCAACTTTAGTGAGTTCTCTATAAAAAGAAGTTCACGGCACATGAGTATCAGGTTTAACGAACCAAAAGAAAATGCTAACTTTTAAATAGTAACTAATTATTGTAAATGAAACTCAATCTTTTCACCGTATATTTTTCAGTCAACAATTCCATTTTAAAACTAACGTAGTTTATTAAATTAATCTATTGACTTTTATATATTTAATGCTATGTCGAATCACATGGAATACTCATATAAATACAAATCCATGGTTTGATACTACAGTGATTATACAACATTTTAAACATGAAAATGAATGTTTTGTCTTAACAGATTTAACAAACCTACGAATACACCAAACCACATAAGCAAAGTCACGTGTAAATTATCATAGAAAATGTAGACAATATAAGCAAAAAATTTCAGCACAACAGAGCTGTAACAAGTTACTTGAGAATCTTAACGGTATGTAAAATTAGTAGATTAAAAAACAACTGTATATTGTCAATTGGATCACTTTATTAATACAGAGATATGATCCCAGACAATAAAACACAGGAATTTGTTGATTAAAAAGAAATAGTTTTTTTCCGGAGAAACAGTCATTTTACTCACCAGAGTCAACACCGCGCAAATTTCTTACAAACTCTTCTTTTGTCATCTTTGATTGTGGTCGAACATTTGGACTATACATATCTGTATGTAGCATTACAATTGCATATGCTAATATCATAACAGTATCAGAATTCCTAAATTGTGACTTCACAAGAGATGCATTTTGTTCTACATAAGCTGATTGAAATTCATTTAATAGATGAACAATTTTCTGTGATTCACCCTGAAAATAGTATGGAAAACTACTAGTCAATTTCGTTTATTGAACTAAAATAAAACTATAATTTGCATTTGACTACTTATAAGTAGATAGTTATTTTTCTAAAAATTGTGAAAGTTATCTTCAGTACCAAGAAAACGAATCTTTGAACATCGGTTGTTTTGTCCTGCTTTGTTTTAGAACTACTCGCAAAATAAGCAAATATTCAGTACAAAACAATAAATTACTCAGAATCCAGCATTTATCATCCTGTTAGTTTGTCCATATCACCATAATTATAAGAATAAATGTGCTATTTATAAACTGAGATTATGAAGAGCTACGCAAACTGTCAAAATTGATCATGACGTAAAGTTTCGTCATGTATGTGAACACAAAACAAAAAGAGGAAAGCATATATGCATACAAAGCATGGTATTGTATCCTAAATGTATTATTCAGTAAAGGACTATTCACTAGAGGAAAACCAAGGAAAATGTAATATTATCAGTGGTATTGAAAAATCCAACGTGTCTCGAAAAGAAAAGATGAAAAGCACAATGAAATAAAAAACGACGAATTATATAACTATAAGATGTATGGATTCAGATTTTCCATGCCTAATAAGTGTAACCAGTATATAAGACAGAGTTAACAATAATATACAGTAGAAAAATAACACATTCTGGTATTGTCTATCAGTTCGGATTGGTTGGATACGGGTTAGATTAATAAATTCAAACTAAAAAATCGATTGTCCGGAAAATAAACATGTCACTCTAACAGATTTAGAGCGAAATCACCGCACTTGACGAAAAAAAAACTAAACACCAAAATCATTGAAAGATGGATTATGCAAGGAATACTGTAGATTATCCAACAGCTGTTTTCTAAAAACGCTTCCAAATGATTGAGAACAAGAATTCTTAGCTTTGATTACAGAACTGTAACCTCAGTGATTTTAACACAATCCAACTATGCTAAGATGATCCCCGCAATCAATTTCCTATAAACTACATACGAAACGGGTTTTTAAAGATTATACTTGTCGTTAGAAAAACAATACGATTTCTTGTCTCCGTCAGAAATATTACAAACATCAAAAGTATCATATTTATGGTTTGTTGTTTCTGGATGAAATGACAAAATCTAAAAATCATTCTAAAGAGTATTTTATCAAAACAACCAACTTTGAAACTAATGGCACCTTACACTTTGTACTGGAAACTATGTCAAAATGATAAAGTTTATAAAGATTATAAAACAACTTACTGGTGTACGAAAACATCCCAACAGTATACGCAATGCTTCATCAACTTCTTTGTTCCGAAATTTCAATTCTCGTATAAATTGTCTAAAAGTATTTTGTCAACAAAACGTAAAATGATAAATGATATAATTAAATATTGAAACATTGAGCTTCTTAAGTATGTATACACTAAATTATCTACAAGATTTAAAGTATTATGTAGAAAAGATGCGTGTGGTGGTTTATGAAGTTTATCTAAATGATATGTAGCTAAATGAATAATTCTATAAGTAGAACTAAACATACATTTATTATGTGAATTGTAGCACAATAAGTTATATACAGTTTCAAATGTGGTAACTTCGAGAGACAGAAATCTATTGGTTATGGCTGATTACTAACTAACACAACATACTGGCTTACTCCATGTGTATTTGTTTATTATGAAGTCTGCATTTATACTGATCTCGAGTGACACAAATTTCTGACAACAAACAAACGTCTCTTGATAAAGATATTTCGTTCTTTATGTAGACTAGTTATCAAAAGTATTAGGCTCTTGAGAAACTATATTTTTGTAGATTGTTACTAGTCTGATTACTAACCCTGAACCAGATTGTCCAATTTTTGCAGACAAAGTTCAAAATGAGACAAAATTAAATCGGAACAAATATTAGTTTAATATTAAGCGAACTGTAACCAGCAGGCATACCATTTTAATTTGTTATCTATATGACAAAGCATATTTATAATCAAACTTCACCCTAGTTTCCATGTTTTAAAAAAACATTAATTAAATCAACCGGTGAAATGAAGCTAATTCAGTGGAAAACACCGGCTTTTAGATGTTCGCAATCAATAAAAAATTTAATCCCATGACATTACAGTCATAAAGTTCAGCAACTTGCAATTTACTTAGAATAACAAAGATTATGTAATCATTACAAATGGTCAAAACAGAGTGGTTATAATAGGGTTTAAGATTACGATCTAAAAGCTGTAAGTTAATCGATTAAACCGGTAGATTACAACGACTAGAGACGAAATTGCAAAATAGAAAATAATTTAGTCTACCATTATGTACCTGTACCTAGACAAAAAAAAATCTTGCCATTTATTCATTACAGTCACAAGTTATTAAATGTCAAGATTAGTTTGAAAAAAAAGTTGAAAATACAAAAATCCACAATAAATATAAACAAAAGTCTCCAAAATAAAGTGAACGCTTAAACACAACAACAAACTGTAAAGTGTTAAGTTTATCAAATATAGAGAAAAGTAAATAATTGCCCAAATTTCTTAGAAAATTCTAAACATGTACTAAAACCATAATGGTAGATAACTAGCTTTATCACAAATCATTAAGATATATGGATTTCAAACTATTAAATTCAAAGAAGTCCGAGTATGTATATAAGTTTATTAGTTGGTATAAACCATAATCATTGAACTTGGTAATTTCTATATATTACAAACAACCACTGAAAGCTTGGAAGGGCTGGAAACCCATTTCGTCCTAGCACGGGGCACATAAGTACCCGATCCAGTCATTCAAGGTTTCTAACGTTGCTTTAGTTAATATCAGTTCGTAATTTAAACCGTGAAAACTGTAAAATCGCCAAAAATCCCCCATACTAATATCACAAATAAACCACGAACGTTGACACTAAACATTGTTACTTTTACGACAGCTTTCAAAAGCATGAATATATTTTATAAATGTTATATGAAAAATGTACAGTTGTTTTCAGCAAAATATTATTTCTTGATTTATTTATCTATTTTAACACATAGATATTGGTACAAGGAGGCATCAAACACATATGCAACACATAGATCTCATTTGATATGTGTGGGGGCTGATACTTACTGGGTGCCCAAACCGAAGCAGATGGTTTTATTAGAGGGTCACACCCGGAGCCTTCGACCTGAAGGTCTGATCCACAAGGCAATGGAGCATCGTAAGTAGATGCATCCCCATGGTAGCCGGTGACCAACAATTGATTCACACGCCGTTTGTTTCTTCAGGATACTGGATCCCATGTGCACCATTGGTTTGGAATCAGAGTTTTCCAACTCCCCGAGGTGGACTCTCCGTGTCCACCAACCCGGTTAAAGCGTCGGACATTCGCTCGTCGTTTTCTCGATTTCGTAAACAACGCCCCCGCCACGAGAAGATAGTGAGTAGGACTTCCCTGGCAGAGGCTATATACGCATGGCCATGTGAGAGCATTTTGAGAGGAAGAGAGGACTCTCCCAACTCTCAGCCGTACCACGGCATTTGGGAGCAAAGTATCTTTGATTAATACCAGAATAGAGATTTTATTATTATTTCGGGGTGTGGCCCCCTAAGAATACCACCTGCATTTGTTTGGGCGTCCGGACAGTATCCCAGCCCTCACAAAAATCAAATGAACTGGGGCTTATATATCTTTAGTACCTCTTTGCATTAATGTTTATGTGTTCAAATAAATAAATATCTATATTATTATTATTATTATTATTATTATTATTATTATTATTATTATTATTATTATTATTATTATTATTTACATCAGAATGAATGAAAAAGTGATAAATTATAAAGTCTGTTTAACTGAGGCTAGATGTAGTGAATTTAGTGTATAAGTTAAATGTGAAAACACTGTTGGTAAAGAAATCTATCGATCTTTTTATTTTGTTAGTTTGAACAATGTGTTTATAACAATACACCATCATTACTTTAATAAAACCATGTGTATGAATCATCAACATTGAATAGGTTTGAGATATTTAAATATAACCGTCTAGTGTGCTGTAACTATGACCTTAAGCAAAAAAAATGTACAAAGTTCATAGGGTGTTTTCTGACATCTAAATTAGATTTCATAATAAGGTATTACAATATAATTATGCATAAAATGTTTTGTAATAGAGTTAAGTACAACATTTCAGCAACAATTGAAATATTCTATATGAACTAAACAAAGCTACAGGAATAAATGTTATTTTAACAGTTGGAAATCACTAGTCAATTTAAGCGCGCGAGCATGGGAGTTCTGGGTTTGAGTCCAGCGTACAGGGTCGTGAATGCGCAATGCTGAGTAGCTTCATACTAGGACAAAGTGACCGTCCAGTGCTTCCAGGTTTTCAATGATAGTTTAGCTTAAATTGACTCGTAGATTCAACTGTTGAAATACTACAGTCTTTACAAATTACCATACTGACAAAAAATATTTGTTTACTAGTATATTGTTTAATTTCATTGTAATAAGTCAGTCAGTCAGTAACAACGTAGAACTTCGTACGTGCGTACATCAGTTCGAGTTGCCACACCACATTAGCAGAGATTCAGTTGTCGATTCAAATCCCGTAGTGGTAGAGGTACTAAGAGTATAAGCAGTAATCGGGAAGATTAGGGTTTGGAGATGTTATTCAAGGAGTATAATCCAGTGAAATAGATTTGGAAAGAGGAAAAAAGGGACATGAAGAATTCAGAAGATTAGAATTTCGGATAACACAGAGAGTGCATGCACCTGCGCCATTGCAAACGATTTTGAGCCATGTCATTCAGGGTCTCTAATCATCAGTTGCTATCATCTCGCGGTCCACAACCAGGTAGTCTACACCTACCGACATGACTCAGTCCACTTGTCAGTGACTTCATGGACTTGTGCCATGTTTTGGTTTGGCCGCCCCTAGGTTTCTTCCAACCTACTCCTATACCACTGAACATAGCACGTCGAGGCAGTCGGTCGTTGGGCATACGTAACACGTGTCCCAGCCATCTCAACTGATGAAGTTTCACTACTTCATCAATTGATTTGCCATCCTTACCTAGTACCCGTTTCCTAACAACTGTGTTACTTACTCGATGGTCCCATGATATACGAGCAATGTTTCGAAGACACCTATGATCAAATACTAGTAACCTACGGATATCCTCTACTCTTACCGGCCATATTTCACTGCTATAAATTAGGACGGAACGAACTGCTGCGCAGTAAACACGTCCTTTGGTTGATAGACGGATATCTTGTCTACGCCATAAATGACGCAAGTTGGCAAAAGCTAGTCGAGCCTTCTGTATCCGTGCTGAGATTTCGTCACAAACCAGACCACAAGGGCTGATGAGACTTCCAAGATAAGTGAAGCGGTCGACACACTCAACTACTTCACTCCCTACCACTAGTTCGGGTGTGAATGTAACCCAATCCTGAAGCAACATTTTGCATTTCGAGGGAGAGAATCGCATCCCGAACATGCTTGCATTGTTGCTTAGAGTGGTCAGAAGACTCTGCATTTTGTCAGCGTCTTCACCAAATAAAACTATGTCATTGTAATAAAGTTCATTGAGAATCAAACATTGAAATAAATCAAATACATGAATGACGAAATTACACTTAGACTATCAATAAAATTGGTAAGGAGATATACTAATATCTGATACTTAGTGATTTCAGCTATGAATTGCGGATATATTGAAAAGATCAAATCTCGCACCATCTAAAATAAGTTAAATCGCTACGACATACGTTAGGGATGGTTAAGAAATTTGGCTTTCAATAAACAGTTAGCAAGTTAGTATGCTGTTACATCTATTTTAGTTTAAGTAACCCAATAGCAACCAATATTCCTTGCAAAAAGATCGTCCAGATCAAAATCAAGTGTGTAAAAGCCTGTACTTGATAAATGCTTTAGAGATTATGGCAACATACCCTATTTATGACAACGAAATTCGAACCATTATATTGTTTGGTGAAATACATCTAAGATTCTTTTCTCAATAAAATGAAGAAAAAAACGTATCGGTCCTGTATACATTTCATCTAAGGAGGGACTCTTTTAAATGTCAGTCAGTCAGTCAGCTACAACGTAGGACCAGGCACATATTTGCATCGGTCCAGGTTGCCATACCGCATCAGCACAAGATGAACACCGGATTCATATCAGTGGTTGGGTCAAAAGTGGTAATATATAAAAGAAAGATTGCATATAGAGATATAGTAAAAGAAGAAAGAATTGGTTCGTAGAAAGAAAGATATGAAGTGATTTTAATCTCTTAGTTTAAGGGAAGACAGAGAGTGTATACACCGACGCCATTCTGATCGATTCTGAGTCATGTCACCAAGAGTCTCCAACCATTGGTTACGATAATCACGCGAACCCCAACCAAGTAGTCTGCATCTACCAACATGGCTCAGACTAGAAGTTAGTGACTTCAAACACTGATGCCACGTTTTGGTTTGGCCGCCCCTAACCTTCTTCCAACCATCTCCAATACCGGATAGCACTGCACGTCGTGGTAATCGGTGTTCAGGAATACGTAACACGTGGTCACTCTTTTGAATGACAGCAAACAAATTTTTTTATACTTACCACAACAAAAAGGCAGTTATTCAAGTTTTGACTAATTAACGCATCAATAAGTTATATTCATTTATAATCCCAAGAACAATCACATCTCCATACCTTTGTCTGTTAAAATAACTTATTTAACTCTAATACGCCCATTTTGTTTAAAATAACAAATCGATAATTCAAAAATGCCCAAGTTCGCAGTGACAAAATAACAGTTTGTGTTTATAGTAAACGAATAACTTGTCGTTTTTTGTATAGAAATGCAACTGTTAAGTGTTTATCTCTTTATATGACTAAAAGTGACAAACTTTCATGTTTAAATATGAGAATATTGATTGGCCTTATTACCCACCTACTTATGCAGCATGTTGGTCGTCCCTAGAAGAGAGTTTTAGAAATACTAAAAATCAAATTTGTAAACAGCTGATATGTACTGCGCTTACCATTTTGCCGATTACAGATAAAAGAAATTATTTCTGTTATGAAATATTAACTGTCACACGCAACTGTGCTAGCAATATCATAATTTTTTTTTCGAGTTATAGATTCACTATAATTTGCCTGATTTACTTTAACTTCCGGGAAAAGTCGAAAATTAGTAATATCTATAACAGCGACTTGGTTCAAAGCAGCCATAAGATGCATAATATTGTACAAAAACTGGAAATAAACCCCTGGTAGAAACCGGACATACAGTATTTTCGTAAAATACGAGAAATATGCATAGGAAAATTAAAAAACAATTCGCTCAATAAATTGAACTTACCGCGTTGTCAACTTGGCTATTTCATTCTTTGTATTCCCAAGATATTCACCTATGGCAACCCGACTTAAACCTTTACGGGTTAACAGAAAACGAGCAATCAACTGTGGAGAATTCTCCAAAAATCCATTCTTAATTAGAAAATCAATCCCTTTTACAGGTGACCTATATTGTAAATAAAATTTTATTAGTTTATACTAACTAGGTACTTGCATCTATTTAAATACTCATTTTTTTATATGAACACATAATTATTAGTACGAAGGGGTACCGAATACATATGCGCCACACAAGTCACATGATTTGTGTGTGGGCTGTGAAACTTCCAGGGTTCACAGACAAAACAGGTGGTTTTCTTAGGGAGCCACACCCGGAACCGTCGACCTAAGAGTCTGATCCACAAGGCTATGGAGCAACGTAAGTGGATGTAGTTAAATGGAATCGGGGTCCTCCAACTCCCCTAGGTGGGTCCTCAATACCCACTAACCTGGTTAAAGCGCAGGACATTCGCTTTTCGTCCTCTCAATTTCGTAAACACCCCCGCCTCGAGAAGGAAGTGAGTAGGACTTCCCTGGCAGTGGCTGTATACGCGTGGCCATGTGAGAGCATTTCGAGAGGGAGTGGACTGTCCCTACCCTCGAGTGTATCAAGATAAACAAAGTAAACCAATATGACATAAGTTGTTAAGGCTTGGTAATAATCAAACGAGTCATGATAGTGATCTGACTGAAACGACATAATTAAAAAATTGTTACATAGTCACACGAAATGGATCTGGAGAATGATGTTTAGTTGTACACAACTATAGATGAGTATCACGAAACACGTTGAGTCCAAACCATCTGGTTGGGGTCGGTGCGACCATTGTAACCAGTGGTTAGTGACTTTAGAAAATATGGCTCCAAATCGTTCGCAACAGTGCGGGGGAATCCACGCCATGTCTCTTCTTAAATATCTGAAGACCTTTTCGCTTCACGAATTCATATTTTTTTCTTAAATCTGGTTTATCCCTAATCTTTTCTATAACTACTAATACGATGACTATCTATATTAATTTGGCATCTTTCAGCGTTGATAAGGTGTGGCAACTTGAACCGGTGCATATAAATGTCTACTTTTAAAATAAACTATAACACCTGCATCGATAAATAAGTATGAAGTGAGAATCAGACCAAGAGAGTGAAATTGGAAACACATATTGGTGCAGAAAAACGTAGCTATTGTTACGAGACATGTACAGCAGTATTAATGACGAATAAATATGTGAGCTACTAAAACAAATCCAATCTGCAACAACCGATATAAAATGTATTAGAGTTCTGATAGATGGAGCAGAAAGTAGTATAAGCAGCACAAACCACTAAATATTTCGTTAGCCATAATCAACATAGATTCTAGTACAAATTTGCATCATCCTTAGAGGTTATACCACAATAAATAGATCACGTGTCACAGTCAACATAATACCCAGTACGAGGGTGGAAATAATCCATTTATTGATGAAATCATATTGGAAACTGGAAGCACTGTAATCCCAACATTCAAGCAGAATAGTCCGAAATGTCTACAGAATACATTTTATAGCATGCCAAGGCGTTTCACTATTTTAACGACCCCACATTTTTCTCAAAACTTAAAAACGGATGTTCGTGAATACATGAATGATCGAAAACTAAATACATTCTAAAAGAACAGTATCAAAAATTTTAATAAAATATAACATATAACTGGAAATTTCTTACTTGTTGAATATGTTTAAACCAATACGATAAGTTCGTTTTCTACGTTTCTCATGAGAATTGGGTAGTCGGTTTATACAGGGATTTCTATGAGAAAATGGGGTTACAATAGATGGATGAAGAGTCTGACTTGGTAAGTTATGTGGAAGATATGAAGGATGCATGTGTAACTGACACGAATTAGGGATATGATAACAATTGCCTCCGCAAGACACATGTGTTGGATGTTGTCTTTGAGAATCATTCTTATTAATATTAAGAGACCCCAGATGGTGTAAGGGAACATGTGGAACATTATTTATTAACTGCGTCGTGTGCAACTGCAGTAATTCATTGTTCAAAGGGACACAGGATGAAATAACTGTTGGTGTTTTGTATACCTTGCCCATAGGGAAAGGAATTCCAGGACATCCACTATTGTTACAAAGTTGAGGTGGTATGATAGCTCTAGATGCAGGCATACAAACCAAAGCAGGTGGTTTGTTTGCAGTGGAGGTAACCTTCAAATTTGGAATAGTCACACAATAAGGACAACAATTGTTACGAAAGCTTGAACGGTTCGGAATACTGGATGGTAAACAGCATTCTTTGTAATGAACTCTATGTACAGATGAACCTGCTACACCCGGAGATATATCACCGAAATTCGGAATACACTCAACACCAAAATGTTGAGTTAAATTAGGTTGACGAGTACGAGAACAATGTTCGCAGGTAGTAGTAACTTGAGTCTTCGGACAGAGATCAAAATGATTAGGAAGAGAACTGACCCATTGTGGTTGAGGACTATTAAATACTGTTAACTGTTTAGTAGATGGACTGCAGAAATATTCACTAGGTATCTGAATAAGATCATTATTGTAATTTAGAGATGAATTTGGAACTGAAAAATGCATCAATTGTGGATTACACATCCTTAAATTTTGATTACTGATACTAGACTTTGCATTAGCAGGAGACAAGTAACTGGGAACACTAGGAGAATCAGAAATTGTCGGTAAACTATCAGTATGAGGAATTGTGCAAGACTGTGAAATACGAGGATGAGTTTTAGGATAAATACAGTCAATCAAATGTGTTTCATTGTTAATTGAATTTGGTAACTCAGTCTGACTAACACCTGCTTCTGGTGACCAGTCAACATATGCTCTCTCGATTACCAAATCATCAACGTCATCTGTAGGTTCAGAAATCGCACAGTCACCTTTGTTTGGAATGTGATCAGAATTAGCTTTGTTTTGGACGATTTTGCTTGAGTTCCTTTCTCGTATACGACCGATTCCTTTTTCTAGCTTCAATCGTGCGTATTCCGCTCTCAAACGATAGTCTCTATAGGCATTTTGTATAATCCTTGCAGCGCGTTGGGTTCTCAAACGTCCTCCATAGTAGCTTTCAATTTCTTCTATTGCCTTAGTGTGTCCATCCTCTCCTAACTCACAGCAAATGTTAGGTAACTCAATTCGAGAAGGTACCATACGATCGAAATGATCGTCAGGATAAGACGAATCACGACTATGATCAGATAAATCGTAATTTTCTGCAACAGCGCTGGGGTTAGAAATAACCAATGGGTGGGAATCTGAGCTGATGTTAGATTGTGTATGTCCGGAAGACGTACGTAAATTTTCGTGGTGATATGCCTGATATTTTATACATTTGTTACATTCCGTAATCTCATGATCCTGACGTTGATCGATTTCCAAAGAACAAAGGCAATCTGCATCTGAACAAGAATTAAATGTGTCCAAGGAATTAGTTGATACAATGGGCTTCTGATATAATCCATTTGGGACTACCAAATCTTCATTTAAATGCTCTGTACTCATGGAAGTCGGGCGCATAGTATTTGACTTGATTCCAGAACCTTTAGAACTAAAATATTTTGAAAACAACAACTCATTTTCGGTTTACATTTCAGAAAGCGTATGTTTTCAGTAAAAAAAATTTCTGCGGTTTCGGAAAACAGTTTAGGTAAGGTTGACATTATCAAGCAATACTGTCATGTTTATCTCTACTGCTGAATATTTGTAAAGAACAGGAAATGACAGTACTCTGCAATGAAGATGAAATAATATACATAAAACCTTAAGCGACGCAAACAGGAGCTAGGTAAATTTATACCCTTTTAATATCGTACGAGTACACAGGCAAACAAAATCAAGAATTTAAAAGTCCAGGTAATATTTCATTTTAAAAAGTTTAATAGAAAGACGATACCAGAGTCGAGGATAACTTTTTCAGCCCTGTTCAGAATTAACAATTTTAATACCCTGAATGTAGGTATGTTGTCTATTAATCTCTACAAATTGCCAGTTTTACTTTCATTTTCTAATGTGCTTTCAACAAGGGAAAAATATCGTCTAAAATGAATCAACTACAGTAAAGACAATTACAGTTGAATAGTTTCTAAGTACTCATTTGCAATCCTTCATCACATGACTGTATAAATGATATCATTCCTTATCGTGTAATAAGCATTCGAATAAGTACAAAACAGTTAGACATTAGAAATGCTGTATTAAGTTAATAAATACCTAGTAAGTCAGAAGTTACAAATGTTATATCCTACATGTGGAAATAACTTCGATACTCATTTGACAAGGTCTCAAAAAAGAGTAACTCCTTAATTTAATTGATTATGCATATACAATTTATTACTTAGACAAAAACATGAGTACAATGAGGGTTGGAATACTGCTTGGGCGCCACAACCGAAGTAGGTAGTTTTCTAAGGTGCCACTCACTAAGCCTGTGACCTATGAGTCTAATCTACAAGACAGTAGAGCAACACCAGATGCCGTCCCATGGTAACCGATGACTAACAGTAAGTTCATATGCCATTTGTTCTTTCAAGACCCTAGAGCCCATGCGCAGCATTGGTTTAGAATCAGGATTTTACAACTCGCTTAGGTGGGTTCTCCATATCCACCAACCCGGTTAATAAGCAGGACATTCAAATTCCGTCTTCTCAATTTTGTAAGCAACACCTCAACAGCGAGAAGGCATTGAGTAGGGCTTTTCTGTCGTTAGCTGTGTAGGAGTGGTCATGTGAGAGAATTTCGATAGGGAGACCTGACTCTCCTCATCCTCCGCCGTATCAGGACATCTGGTGGCCATGATGGTGCTCGAAATTCGACTACACTCTACATTTTACAATTAAAAATAATTGAAACATAAGTTGCTCTGAGAAATCGATTTCTCTTTAAACAAAGGATCATCAGGATACATGAATTAAAAATATAAAACATGAATTTTTTGTGTAACTTTAACAAGAAAAATTATACTCTAAATCCATACCTAGGGAATGGTGTTTCATGATAATTTCTTGAATAATGCCAACTTGAGAACTTCTTAGGATAGTCAATATTCCAATTACATGTGTTATCATCTCTATGATGATTGATATTACAAGAATAATCCGGGTTACATTGATTTATTTGGCTTGCAATATTATTTGAATAAAAGTCAAAAATGCAACCACATTGCGCCGTTCCAGAGGTCATCCTCCGTTGTCTTAACTTGTGTTATGAGAATGTATGAATTATTGCTTGATTATAAATGGCTACACTCAGACAGGTAGGGTTTTTTTTTAAAGCTTTCTATTGGTCAATAATAAATAAACCGTTTTCGTATTTGATTCGATGAAAAAATCGTCGATTTTAAACGTCTATTGATTATAGCCGTCTAGTTAGTGATCGTATGCAGACAATGTCTATCCACTTTCTCATAATCACCCTAGGCCACGTGAAGAATGACTCACTGGGGGATGGTTAGAGCAGAGGACAATTAAGGTAATCTATCTGCCCTAGTTTAAAGTATTAATCCAAGGTTATCATTTTCCAATGACAACTGGTTAGGTTTTTTCAACCAATAAGATAAACAATTTAAATTGAATAGCATTAGTGATGCAAAGAATTAGGATATGCAAAGGTTTCAGACATATTCGAAATATACTATACTGTTTGGTTGAAAATGTTGCCATTTGTCAGATCTTCAGACTATAGTATTTGGTTGAAAATATCACTGTACCAGTTAATGACAGAAATCGCTTTCGATAATGATATTAGAAGACGAAGATTATCAGAACTATGTGATATATTAGCGCAATACATTTCGAACAATCTGGTCACACATATACTTGTTAAGAGCATTTATATATAAAAATAAAAGGTCAGCTAGACAGGAAACGAGGTAATAGGAGATAATCTTCGTCTTCTAATATCATTATTGAAATTTATCAAAGGGACTAATTGTTTTAGAAATCGCTTTATTTAGCATAATGAGTATTATTGAGTGAAGTTATCGTAACAAAAATAATAAACTACACGGTTCAGTTTATAAAATAATTATTGACTTTTTTATGTTATGAATGAAAATGAACGAGATTATTATGAAATCAAGGAGTTTGAGATAATGACAGTATCGTGTCCCTTCATGTCACTAAAAACTAATCATTTTAGAGAACACAGCACCTGATGAACTTCTGCTTAGTAATAAATTGAAATTGTAGATAAACGAAAATCAAGAAAACTAATTCTTCCCTCCTTGAAGGACACTCTAATAATAATAATAATGGTAGTAATAATAATATCCTTCATGAAACCTTAAAGGATTTCGAGATTTGCAGTACGGGTACAATGTCGTCAACGACTGAAGAATACCCGTTCACGTTTTGAAAAGCCTATTACCTTATTTAAGTTGTACATAAAAGTTTATTTCTAGAATACATACAAATTGTAGACTAGATTATTATGATAGAGTGAACGTTTATGGCTTACACGGAACCTGTGTGGGATAGTATGAGTTGAAGTTTATTTAAAATAATAGACTATTGAAATTGTGTTTTTTTTTGGAAGACCATTCACTATAATCTATCTAACACAAACCATAAAATCCTAGTACGAATTCAGGAACCTCTCTTAGCTTTCGCTATCTTCTGTCACTTGTTGTGGCTTGAGAAGGCAAGTACACTCTGTGATCGTTTATTCTGTTCTATTTTGTAGCCATTAAACCTATTTGGTATATAATGTATATAATTTGGTCATAGACGTCTACGAAGCATTCATTACTTACGTATTTTTGTACCATCGAGTGAATATGGATCTAGGTAAAAATGGCACATCTATTAACAAAGTAGTAAATCTTTATTAACTGAGGTGCTTGGGTTTATTATTTGTACTAATTGGTCATTCCTTTGTAATTTGACTTACAAATATAATATAATCGGTTGTGCTCATTGGGTTCTATCTGACTTCAATTGGAGTAATACGGGGATTCTTAACATATCAATTCAACTGCCTCTAATTACTATATTGTGATATATATTTTGTGTGCTCAACCACCAGTTAACTCTACTGACCTATAGCGATGCTGCTGAACAGGCTAAAAACTATTTTTATTAAACCATGTAAATGATAACTATGACTATAGTGTATCATATTACTCAAATGTGGTCATCTTTCTTCTTTCTCTTTGAGTGTTTTCAAGAGGTCAACTGACAAGCTTATATATACACAGCTGACGAGGCTCATCCTAAGACGAAACAACTGTCCATTCCCTCTCTACTTTTCAGTGGTAGTATAGTATTTCACAGATTTAAATCATGAGTCAGTTGAAGCTAGACCACCATTGAAAACCTGGAAGCACTGGACGGCCGTTTCGTCCTAGTATGAGACTCCTCAGCAGTGCGCATCCACGATCCCGCACCACGCGGGGCTCGAACCCAGGACCTACTGGCTTCGCGCGCGAGCACTTAACCATTAGACCACTGAGCCGGCATCCAACGGTGTTAATGTCTAACTTCAACCAGGCCAGTAGGTCCTGGGTTCGAGCCCCGCGTGGTGCGGGATCGTGGATGCGCACTGCTGAGGAGTCTCATACTAGGACGAAACGGCCGTCCAGTGCTTCCAGGTTTTCAATGGTGGTCTAGCTTCAACTGACTCATGATTTAAATCTGTGAAATTTCTAAAATCTCCACAAACCCCTTCTGATAGTATAGTATTATCAGTTGTTTTTGAAATTTGAATAACATCATAAGATAGCAGTTTATTGATTATCAGTAATAAAACTAATAAGCTGATTTAATTCTGTTAACTCTAATAATAATTATTTGTATTATGAAACGCGTTCTCTGATGAAAACGATAATAATTCTTTTGAGACGAGGATACTGATCTGAATTGATTTGACCCAGATTTTAGTATCATTCTATCGTACCACAGTTGATGATCGCTCTCAGTTTGAGAGAGTGATTGGATAAGAAATAATCAAAGAAATAAATCGGTCACATGAAATATATTTTTAAAAGTTGGATGCGAAGGGATCTCTTTTCAACGAATTTATTAACTGTGTTCACATTTCCTCACGGAATTAGTACTTTTACAAAATTTTCATATATATAAGATATATTTGTATTTATAAGTTCCAATACTTTCAAGGATATTAAAGTTACAAATGAAAAAAAATAAACTATTTATTTTGACACTGTATTCTTGATGAAAGTTCTAGATGACCTGATAAGTACATTGTCATAAACACATTTGCAGCCTCTTTACAATGGTTTAACCTCATAATCATTCATTCTTGCACTTAGCTACCCATACGAATTTAAACGAAACAAGTATATGATGAGTTTATTACTCTTCATGTTTCCTAATAAGTTATGTTGGTTTAAGATGTTATTACGGAGTTTTTTTTAAAAAAAAGTGAGTTGTCATCACTAACATTGTTAAGAGGGGTAAATTGTATTAGATATTTTAAAGAGTATTTGAATAAATTATTACAGTGATAATTTTACAATAATATTACGTAATATAGAAAAGGATTCATTCAGAATATAGAGAAGCTAAAACAGAAAATTGATTTGAAATCACTGAATAGTAATCATGACTTCATGAGCAATGAAAATCAAATGGTTAACATTGTTTGTTTTTTTCTGTTTCCAAGGTAGAGTTGGATGTTAACCATAGCTTAATTTTAGATACAAAGGTCAAGTTTTAAATTCCTAACTGCTTATAGCATATGTTAATCCTAGTAGTATATAGTTGTACTGTTTATTAGTTAGTTTAATTATGTAGATCATATACATCTCGTTTTCGTGTCTAACTGGCGGTCTACAATTAACCTGTGATTACTGATGTCCTCACTTATATAAAGGTTTATAGGTTTATTTTAAATAAAGAGCGTAGTTGTTGACATTGATATCCGTTCGTCCAAGGTAACTGCTTCCGTACATACGTATAATTTGGTAATTCAGGTGATGACATTATATGAGTATTTGTCTACTTTTATACACCTTACTGGGTATCGTGTTGTGCATACTGGTATCTACTATAATGCGGGAAACATGCTATTTAGAGTTGCATTCAGTCTTTGAATAATTTTCTCAGCTTGATCACATTTTAAGTTTCATTAGACGAATAAATTTTTGTTTTATAGTTGTCAATACTATTCTTTATGTTGTGGGAGAGACTGAAATTTATAGACGAACCAATCAGACCTAAGACAGCAGACCTTTTATTTTGACGCCAAATTCATTCACTCATTTGGATAAATACCATTTTGGCATTATAACTGATGTCAATTCGCGATGAAAACTTTGAACCTAGTTTATTACCCTAGCGTCCAACTGTAAATCTTAATTATAATTTCTTAAACTAATATAAAACACTCATTTGTCCCCAGTAAGTATATGGACAATCCAAGGTCATTTTAATGTTGCTCATAGGTCGTCCATAAATTATAGTCTCATCCACTTCCCTTAAACCTTATTTGTCAAAACATAAATTTCTAGGTCTGTAAAAAAGCAATTTTATAAGTTCATCTTTATAAATAATCGGATAAAACTGAAAGTATAAATACTGTTCACTTCAAGTTTTATTTCTACAGATATAACTTTGAAATCTACAATCACTTCCCTCGGAAATTCCCAAAACAATAAGAGAGTATATATATAATTTATTTCATTGTCCATTATACATTTGATATTAGAATATTCAAGATCAGTAATCCATGCGTAGACTGTAGTCTCCATGATATTATGCAGTAATTTTGTCCTTGCCGGATTTACAAAAAGTATATCAATTACAATCATTCTCAAAAGGCTAACCATTTCTTTGTTGAAATTGAAATGAGCATATGAGTTTTAACTTTCGCACACAACTTCATCTGGTCGAACACTAAAGCTACTACTAGACCAAAACCCTCGTAAAGATGAACTCTTCTACATAACCAGTAACCAGAAGAAGCCAACATAAATAAATTCATACCGATTTCACAAACAAATGATTACCTAAACTCAGGGTCTGAGTAAATAGCGTGTTGGTATTTAAAAAAGAAAGCTACTGGGTTCCTTTCTTAATATGAACGTCAATAGTGGGATGTAGAAACATCTAGCTAACAAGATCCAATTCAAAATACATTATACTAATTTATATAGTTGAGATCATCAGTCACTTGAAGCTAGACCACCATAGGAAACCTGTAAGCACTGGACGGCGTTTTCATTCTATTGTGGGACTCCTAAGCATTGTGTATCCATG